GGGCTGGGGTCACAGGGAGGCCAGGGTCACTGGGGGAGGATTTTTGAGCATTCCAGAAATGCAACTTCTCTGCTTGGCTGATGAAGTTCCTGAATCTATTTTCAGATAAGCCTCCCAAAATGATTGATACCAGTTGCACCCAAATCAATTTGGCAGAATCGTTTGCTACCATGGAGTTGTCATTTGAAACCCATCAGGTGGAGAAAGTCTCTGTCCCTAACAGCAGCTCGGTGAGTGCACTCCTCGGGTTTTGTCTGAGCAGTGGAGGAGCCAACCTAAAACAAAATCGAAATTGGACTTGGTTCAAAACTGGAACAAAGGATTTTGCGTCCCAAGCCCTCCTTACCCACAGGAGAACACAAATGAACTGGATGAGCAGTCAGGGTTGACAGAGGTCAATGAGCTTCACTGTCAGCAGGACAACAGCATGTATTATTCCCAATCAAACATCCTGCCCTTTCTGTAGGTAGTTAAGCAATGGGAAGGAGACATAAAAGACACCTTGCTGAATTGGTGCTCAGTTAATCCCAGCGCAGTAACAGTATACCAGGCAGAGACTAAAGCTCCATCTGAACACACAGAACTCCCACAAACATCCCTCAAATTTCACTCCAACTGCCCCACAAACAAACCCCCCTGACCATCTACACCCACTCCCCACATATCTTTGCATACACCCTCTCTGTATACCAACACCCGCCAAAAAAAAACACACACCCATCAAATCCCCCTCTTCAATACCCCACACAAATCAAACACCACCTTCCCATGGTTAGAGACAAATAAACTCCAGATTTTGGAATCCAAGGTAGAACACAGCAAGCCAGGGCAGCATCTGGAGGAAAGGAGCAATCAACATTTCAGGTATTCACGGTTTTCAGTCCTGAGTCTTCAGTCAACCTCCTTGAGTCTTCGCTAAGTCTAACCGGATTGCCAGTGCTTTGGATGCTACAGCACATTGCAGCTATTCACATCTAAGGACATTTTGAAAGGACCATGTCAGGAGTATCAGCAATAGAAGTATTCTCCACATTTTTAATCAATCTGAACAGGCAGGTCATGCAACACCTCTGGCAGTAGGTGGGACTTGCACCAGGGCCTCTTGCTTCAGAGGAAACAAGCACTACCACTGTGCCACAAGCTGTTGCCTCCTCGTGCTCTCTGAACCACAACTCATGGCATAATCAAGTAGATCGGAGACAATAAGGACTGCAGATGCTGGAAGCCAGAGTCTATAGAATGTAAGGCTAGAAAAGTACAGCAGGTCAGACAGCATCTGAGGAGTAAGGAAGTCAACATTTTGGGCCCAAAACCCTTCCTCAGGACGCATGTAGATTATTGCATTCTGATTGGCTCAGGCAAGTCACTAATCAAGGGTTAAGAGATACATGATCAATCTCTAATTGGTTCTTCAGGGGGAGGGACATTGACTGATGTCACCACCCACT